CCCCATCAAGGTAGGAGCCCCGGGCGGCCCCCCTCCCCAGTGCGGCCCTCGGAGCCTCGGAGCTGCAGCAATCCCCAAGGGCCGGTAGGGCAAGAGCCGAGCCATGGAGGAGGGGGGAAGACCGGGAATGGGGGCGTCTGGGACTTGGGCTCCTGGGGTCTGGGGTACGGGGCATTTGGGAGGCTGAAAACACCTTGGTCCCACGGATGAGAAACAGGCCAGCAAGTGGGAGTGGGTGCAGAGCGGAAAGCCAGAATGTGTGTGTGTGTGTGTGTGTGTGTGTGTGTGTGTGTGTTCGTGCGTGCGTCCGTGCGTGCGTGCTCCTGCGCGCGTGTCCTGAGTGCCTGTGTGTTGAAATGAGCCCTTCCCTCAGCAGGCCCCCTGCGCCTGGGCCGTCTTATTCCTTCTCGCCCCAACCTCCGCCCCAACCTCCGGTCCGCTGTCTGTGTCCTGAGGCTGGCCTCATTTGCTCCCGTTCCTTCCCTGCTCCCCCACCCCCACCCGCACCACTGCCTCTGGGCCTGGCTCTCCCTGTCCCTGAGTCTCTAGCCCTTTCCATCTGTCTGGCCTGAGACTTCACATGGCGGCCTCTCTGCCTGGTCCCCTCCTGGCCTTTGCTCCCCTCCTGGGCTCCCTCCCCCGCGGCAGCTCTCCCTTCCTGCTGGCTGGCGATGCTGTCTCTCTCTTCCTCCCACGCACTCGCCTTCTCCCTCGCCTTCTCCCTCTCGCTGATCCCCAGCTCAGGCCTCTGCAGCCTGATCAGTCCTCTCCCTGGGTCAGCCAGCTCCCTCTCTACTAGTTCTCCCATCCCTATTTATCTCTATCCTCTCCCCTTTCCTCCTCCCTGCTATCATCTTCTTGGGCTCTCACCTCCACTCAGTCTTCTTTCTGCCCTCCCCCTCATTATTATTCACCCCCACCTGTTACCCCTCTTCCTCTCTGTGCTCACCCTGCTGTTTTCCCTTCTCCCGCCCTGGGGAGGCCTTGTTTCTGAGGCTTGGACAGTCTAGTCCATTTCTACCTTTTTCCTCCTCAGTTTCCTCTTCTAGGGACGTAAGGTGGGGGGAAAATGGAGAGACCGAGCAAGCTGAGAGGAGGAGGAGGACACCGTGGGGTTAAGGATGAAGATTCTAGGATGTTTTGGATGCCCCAGGAAGGGAGAGCTTGCTGACATTTCACCAAGATGACATTTCTGAGGTTTCTGAGTCTGGAGATACGGGAGGGGGCAGAAGTGGAAGGAAGAGAGTTGGGGTGCGGTTGATAGGCAGGGTAGGGGGTCCTGGGGTGAGAGATGGATGAGACTGAAGTCAGGACAGTGGACTCAGCAATTGAGAAGGAAGGTGAGGCCGAGGAGACAGACGGCGCAGAGGGTGTGCGTGAAGCTGGCTGCTCCGGTGAAGAATTGTAGAGGTGCTCTGGGGAAGATGGAGCCATTAAGTCCCCAGACTGACCAGAAAGAGGAGAGAGGGAGGCTCCAGGGGTGGCACTTAGTTCAGTGCTAAGGAATGCTGGGATCAGAGCTCAGGAATCAGAGGGAAGTGGAGGGAGAGAGTGCTGGAAGCCACGTGTGCGTGAGCGAGGTCTCAGGAGAAGGCCTCAGCTGAGGGACAGGAGAAGCCGCAATTTCAGAGGAGACAGGGAGCAGTAAGAAGTGAAGGATTGGGCCAGCCTGTGGAGAGGAGGGTTAATGCGTCTAGATCCACATGGCTAACTGTGTGGTTCAAATCCTGGACCAGGTGGCTTGAGAAACACATAGAGCGTGTGTGTGTGTGTGTGTGTGTGTGTGTGTGTGTGCGCGCGCGCGCTCACAATCCCAAAAGGAGGGAGAGATGGAGGAGAGAAAATTGCGGTATCATCATGTCCCATGGGGGTTCTTTCTTGCTTTCCCTCTCTGTCTCCTTCTGGCAAATTAAAACAAAAGAATGAAGGGTTGATGGGCCATCCTTGTAGCCTAGTAGTTAAGGGAACCAGATCGCACACGGTTGATAAAAGTTCGAGTTCTAGCCCTGGAGGCTTGAAAATATGCTGGATATGTGCTTGCACATGCCCCAAATCTGGACAGGGATTTGGGAGAAACAGAGAAGGGATTGTAGCGGGACCACTAAGGAGTGCTGCTCTCTTCCCCAAGTGCACATGTCCGCTGGCAATGAAAGCAAATGCGTATGAAGGATTGGGATTCGGGGACAGAATCTTCAGGGTTTGGGGTAAGGTCTGGGATTTGAACCACAGGGTCAGCCAAAGGAGAAGTGATGATCTCTCTGGGGAATCAAGTTGGGATGGAAGATCAGAACAGGTGATTGATAAGAGTGGATCTGGGGACCAGACAGGGACAGAGAAGCTGACGGAGAATGAGGCGGGGCTGGGAGATGGAATTGTAGGGGGACAGGGACATAGATGGAGGGTGTGGGGTGGGTAGAGATGGGGTAGGAGCAGAAAAGTAATCGTGGATGAAGGATGTGGATGAAGTGGGACAAAGGCTGGGGTGTGGGGAAGGAGGTGGGGGTGGAGATGAGGGTGGGGAATGGGAGGGGTGAGCAGGTGGACGAGATTTGGCAGTTAGTGACTACTGGTTAGACAGCAGCATTTTCTGGGACTTGTAGGGTTGGAGGATGGTGTTAATAGATTTATGGGCATGGAGTCTATTATAGAGCTTGAAAATGTCAGTAGTTTGTAGGATTGAGAAAAAGCAATAGAGTGGAGAGACCCTCACTGGAGGGGGAGAGGTGGAAAGAGACTGGGTCATCTTGTTTAAAGAGGGAATAGGTTGGAGACCCCAGAAGGAGGCTCTTGGCAGCATCCCCCCATTACCATAGAGACGCGGCTTCGGTTGCCCTGGCAATTGGGGAAGCCCCTAGGATGGGAGTCTGGAGACCAGAGACTGGGACCAGGCCTCACTGAAGCTACTGACTGACGTCAGGGACTTGGGCACGCCCCACTTTAACCCTTTCCTGAACGAAGTCCGGGGAGGAACGAGGGAGCAGGATAGGACCCGGATGTCTTTCCCCTCTTCCCCCTTCCTGACGTCCTTTGCACTGCGTAGGGTGAGGGGCATAGGGGAGAGAGGAAGGGAGGTTATTCAGGATGTTCTCTGCTCACAAACCTCTTCAGCCTGAGCTCGGCCTGGCCAACAGGGGGAGTGGGGAATGGGGGTGGGTCTAGGGCAGGAGGGAGGGACCAGTAGATCTCAGCTGCGTTAGTTCGGGACCCTTAGCCACACCCCCCTGTTGTCCTGACGACAGGGCCTCCAGGAGGTGGGTCTCCATGGGTCTTGGCTGGTCTTAGATACCGTTGCTAGGCAACACGGTCCCTGGAGGAAGGGGCGGATTGGCTGGCGGGTGGCTGAGAGGGAAGGAGGAGCCTGCAGCTGGGGGAACCCGGGATTCCCAGGGCTCAGGTTTAAAGCAAATGTGTGTGAAGGTGAGGGCCAAATCTGGGGGAAGGGCGTACAGATATCTGGGGGTATATGGGGAGAAAGGGACAGGGATGGGGGCAGGAAGTGGGGGAGCAGGAAGTGGGGGAGCAGGACCCAGTGGACATGAGCCCTGGGGTATCCGGGTGTAGCACATAAGGCATGTAACACCCCGTGGCGCTACATCTACATCCGGTGAGAAGCTCCCTTCCCCCCAAGGATGCTCCCCCCACTCGTTACCATCTGCTGCTCCCCTCTCCGTCTGGCTGTCTCTCCCTTCCTGCTTCTCATACACCTCCTTCCATCTGAGGGGGGCCTGGGCTGGGCAGAGTTAGATCCCTGCACGTGTGCGTCTGTGCGTGTGCGTGTGTGTGTGTGTGTGAGTGAGATGGGCACTGAGGCTGGGTCTTTGAGGAGCTGAGATCTCTGGGTGGTGGAGTTGGCTTGGCTCAGAGGCTGAAAGGATGGCCCGGCTGGTGGGGCCCTTGGTTATGACTCCCTCTGGAGCCGAGGCTCAGGCAGCATTTTGTCTCGTTTCCCTCACAGGCCAATTCTCCCCCTGTGATTGTCAACACAGACACGTTAGAAGCCCCGGGATATGTGAGTTGTCTAGATTTTGGGGCCGGGGCTAGCCCAGAGGGAAGGAGGGAGAGGGGAGGGCTTGGGTCCCTGCAGCAGAGGAGGGACAGGTTTT